CACCCTCGTCCAGGGTAAGACTCGGCGACGCCCTGCAGAGCTTAGGTGCCGGCCCGGCGTCCCCAGCAGGGTTCTGGCGCCGGGGGTGCGGGGTGCATCGCAGCCCCACGGAGACCTGCACAGGCGTCCCCCCGAAGTGGAGCTCGCCCTGAAGGCGGGCACCGAGGGCCACGGGAGGCAGAAGCCCCTGTCCTCGAAGGAGCGCTGTCCTCTGCCTTCTGTCCCCGCCCTGCTGCTTGTCCTGTCCGCAGCATCGCTTCACATCTGCTGTGCTGACCCGCGGGGACCTGGCACCTGTCTGAGATGACGCTAGACTGAGTTACTTCTCTCAGCCGTCCTCTTCTCTCTGGCCTATGGCCCCAGGCCTCTGTCCCCCACAGTGACTGCCCTCTCCAGCATACTTGCACCCCTGCACAGCCCTGTGGGGAGCTGGGCTCCAGACCTGGATTTGTGTCCTGGCCCTGTCACTTGGCAGCTCTGTGACCTTGGGCAGGCTCTCAGCCCTCGTCTTTAACTCTCTGCTCTGTAAAGTGGGGTTGAGGACAATGAGCTCAGCTAGGTCAAGGCTTGGGACGCTTCTGGCACAGGGGATGCACCTAGGGGAGCTGACATGTGCTGTCATGAGCATCCACATAGCTCCTGATGGGTCCACCCTTAGTTTACCTTTCTTCATAGTTGCATTCAAGTAGTTTTTCTAAAACAATCCGATTAAGTCAGTTCCACTGCTTAAAATTGTCAGTGACTTGCCCTGTTCTTTAGGACAAAATGTATTTTTTAGCCACAGCTAGCAGAACTCCTGGGACTCGCCCCCCCGCCTACCTCGTCAGCCTCCCGTCTTGCCTCTTTCAACCAGCTGTGCAGAAATACTTCCCAGCCAAGAGCTTGGCCTTGCCTCTGCCTGGAGTGACCTCTGCTTTAAGCGGTCTGAATATCTTATTCCGGAAGACCGAGTTCTGCTGCCGCTTCTGGGAAGCCGCCCCATCTCTAGCGAACCGCAGAGACCTGTTCTTTCTGCTACAGTAGTGATATTACTTACCGTGCTTTTTTTACTTTTTATTAAATCTATTGGGGTAATGTTGAATAATAACACGGCATAATGTTCAGCTGTCCGAGGTTATAATTCGACATCTGTGTACTGTTGCATCGACCCCCTTCGGCCACTCCACCTCCCCCAGCCCCCGACATATTATTTCATCATCGTTCCTTTACTTGTCTGGCTTCTCATGTAGACTCTGGCCTCATGGGTGTGGGGTCTTCTGATCGTCTATCCTTGTGTGAAGCACATAATGGGCACTCAATGTTTTTTGACTAAATTAATTTAATGAAGGAGAGAGAGAAATAGATGGTGAAATTTTTCTTGTGCTTTCAGAAATTTACTTATGATATTACCATTATTTTCCCCCCTTCCTTCAAAATAATTAGGGGTTTTTGGAGCAGGAAAGAGTTATTTGCTGGCAGTGGTGGTTTTGTTCTTCGTGCGGCTGTTTGAGCAGAGTGAAACTCCTACAAGTGGAAACGCAAGACCGTGGAAACTTCTGATTGCTTCTTCCACTAATGTGGCTGTCGACAGAGTCCTCCTTGGGTAGGTATGACAGCGTGTCAGAGCTCGTGTTTTAGGGTGGCTGCTGAAGCCATGTGGCATGGGCCTGAGTGTCTGTGTCCTTTCGCGGGGTATGCCTTTGTCTCTGACTCAAGAGTAACCGCCACGAAATAGTAGCAGGCCAACTTTGGTTTGTGAGGAGGATAAAGTCAAACGTTAAACCTGACAATTCTAGCACAAAGGTGGGATGGACCCTCATGTAAAGATTTGAGTTCGGCCAAGGACATGCGGGGCTAAAAGGTGCATTTTTGGGAGAAGCAGGTGGCTGGAATCTGAGCGTCTCCTCTGGCCGCTAAGGACACAGGGTCTCCCAGCAAGGCCTCAGGGTCGTGCTCACAGCCAGCAGCCCTGGCTGAAGAAGCAGTGTCTCCTCCCAGGACAGAGAGCCTCACTCACTGCTTGTCATACGCTAGTGGGTCCCTACTGCACGTGCAGGCATCCATATGGACCCCTGTACCTCCCACAGGACTTGGGGACCCGGGAAAACCAGAGAAGGCAATCGTGTGTTCTCTTTTGTCGGTACAAAGTTTTGTGATCGTTTACGATTTTGTTAAAAATGCAAAGAAGATATTACCTAATATTTTATCAGTATTCCAGTGTTTAATGATCTGTAAATAAATGACAAAGTTTGATTAGGAGAAATAATCCCTTATTTATAAGTGTAGGCTTTTTAAAAACTAGCTTTTATAATTACGTAAGTTAATGCTGATGGCAGAAAATAGGCCGTCTGTACAGATATTATATTTCTTTATAGATTTTTATACATACACATACGTTTTGTTTTCCAGACTTGGTATGAAACAGTATATATTGTTTTGTGTCCTGCTTTTTTTACTTAAAGATTGTTTCTCTGTGGTATTAAATCTTAGAAAACAATTTTTCATAGCTCTCTTATATGCCATGATTTATTTACACCATACTTAAGCATTTTTGATCGGTAAGTCCTTTTCAAATTTTTGCCATTATAAATAATATTGTGACAAAGATCCTTAAACATAAATCTTTGTCTCCACTTCTCATTTTCTTAGGGAAAAGTCCTAGGCCTAGAATAAAAGGCAGGGACACTTTAAGCTTCTTCACATGCTTCGCTGGGTCGCACTTCAGAAAGGCCCCTTGTAGGTAACGTGAGGACAGGAGCCGAGGACATTTGATGCACCACATGGACCAAACAGGAAGCGCTTCAGGTGGCTCAGCCTGAGATGGAAATGTCACTGTAGACTGTTACAGGAGAAAGACCAAGGCTGGAGTGAGGAGGGAGGGTCAGTACTGAACAGTGAGGTGACAGGACACACGTAACGCCAAGGCCCTGGGGTTACGCCCTGCATGTCACCGGGCCTGCGGTGACAGCGATGGGGGTACCGCCCCCTCGTCGTCATAGGATCGACACTCGTGAAAGATCCGGCTTTTCAGACTGGAAAGCAGCAGCCATTCTCCTGGGCCATGCGGACCTCGGACGCCTGTGCTGCGTGGCACCCCGTGGGCGGTGGTGCTGGAGGCGTGGAGGGGTCAGAGCACCAGGCCGGGCAGAGGGACGCTGCCCCCCGCACACCCCGACGGGCGATGTGGGTGCAAGGTCACAGACGCCCAGGTGGCCGGACCTGCCCGGGTCCACGTCACGCTGCTCATGGGCGGCTCTGTGGCCTCTCCCAGGTGACGTGTCCCACAGAGCTGTGAGGTTGGGCGGGACGTGCATGTGGAGAGCTAGCCCTCTGCCTCGTCGGCCTGGGTGCCGAGTACGTGGCAGCGGCTGCTCTCTGCGTCATTATGTCTTTAGGGGCGACTCTGTGATAAATACAAATGTCGTTTTAGTAACATCGAATGGCCCTCGACGTGATAAAATGCATTACATCAAAAACTCAGTTGCGTTGCGTTTACTTTGCATTTAAGCACTTCCCATGGAATTTTGTAACTACAAAATATACTGTCACACAGAGTTAGTTCTAATGACGTAAATACGTGAAACTTTGTTTCATATCCTACTTGCTAAATAATCAGAACCTGCTCCACCTCGTTTTCTCTAAAGGCTTCTCAGTCTTGGATTTGACAAGTTTGTCCGCGTCGGGAGCGTGAGGAAGATCGCCAAGCCGGTCTTACCTTACAGGTAAGAGCGCCGGGCCTCAGGAGCCGCAGCGTGCACAGGAGGGTCGTGATTCTGTGCAAGTCTTACCTTAAGTTTGGTTTCTGAAGAGCGGAGGAAGCCTTATCTCTTTCTCGTTGACTTAGAAAAGCTATCTAAGTGTTAGTGACATTACGAAAATGGAATAAAGCCTACTGCTCTGTGACGGCTCTTTCTCCAGCTTGCACGCCGGCTCCGGAAACGCGAGCGAGCAGTTGAAGGAGCTGCACGCACTAATGAGAGAAGACCTGACTCCGCTGGAAAGACTCTACGTGAGAAGAAGCATCGAGCAGCACAAGCTGGGCACCAATAAGACCCTGCTGAGGCAGGTGGGCGCCCCCCGCAGCCTGCCTGTTAGCTGCGCCTGCTGCCGGGGTCTCATTCCTGTCCCTGGAGAGCACTCCCTGTGAGGGAACCAGGGGCCGGGACAGCTCGGCCCGCACCCAGGTGTGCCTGCGTCTGCCCGGGGCACGATTCGTTTTACTGCAAAGCTGTCTTTGCCTTTGTGTGCAGACCCAGCTCAGCAGACGGAGCCATCTTTCCCTTTCTCTTATGTCCTTTTACAGGCTTGACCGGGAAAGTGAAGAGGTGGGAATACATTCCTGGCAAGTTAAATGAAACTTGTTTTTCTCCTAGGAGAAGTAGAGGAAAGAGACGGTGTGACCCTAGTCAGAACGTCCAAGTTAAAGTTGTCTTTGATGCTCCCTCAGAAGGCAAGCCTTTCAGGGTCCGTCTCCACGCGGGGGCCTGAGACACTGGCTTCCAGATGTTGGGAGCCGAGACTAGACTCGGGATCCCAGGCTGCGACAAGTGGCAGCAGCTCCTTTATCAGGTCCTGACCCAGGTGGCCTGGGCACCAGTGGTAGGAGAGAAAGAAGCCAGGCGGTAGCTGCTTGCCATGAGAGGGAAGCTTGGGGACAGAGGGGACAGATGGGAGAGGGTTGTTGGCCCGGGGACAGTGCAGACACTGTGACTTTGAGCGAGAGCGTTGGGAAATCAGCCTGCTTGGGACCCTGTATTGGTCAGCTGGGGCTGAAATAATGCTGCTTAATGAACAAAATCTCAGCCCTTTAAGACAAGAAACTTGAGACCGCAGGTCCGTCGGGGCGGCTTCTGAGGACAGTCGCCTGTGACCGGTGGCCTTCCGACAGGTGGTGGAAGTGTGAGGGGCAGGCCAGAGGACACGTGCATGTAGAGCTTGTGCTGACTTTCCGTTTCTGGGACGGGTCCCGTGGCAGAGGGTGAGGGTGTGTGGTCCTCTCCTGGGGCCAGTGGGGGGTGACCTGTGGGGACAGGTGGCAGCAGATCTGGTCCGAGAGTCCTCAGAAGGCCTCAGACTGGCCTGTTCTTGGGGACAGAGCTCGTTCCACAAGGGCCCCCTGTGACCGCTCCATCAGTCCCTGCTGTGGCACTGACAGGGTCACCTGTCCCTGGCGTCTGATAATTTTCCAGGTGAAGGCCCAGTTTCACAGTGTGTTGCTCACTGGTGTCGCCTATTCACAAATGCAAACTCATTTAGAGGAAGCTTTTGGAGCTTTCTCTAACAGATTTCCAAGGTCCAATCAGACGTTCAGACCTGACATATTTCTAAAGTGACGTCTTTACAATAAACTAATTTTAAAATGCTTCAGTTATTCTCTTGCTGTTAGAATCTCAGCAGTATAATGATAACTTGAAAGGTACAAATGTAATTTTTTAAAGAAAAAACTTATGTCTTAGGTTTTTGTATTAGATATTTCTTTAATAAAAACACTGCTTCCTGAGCCACAGCCTGAGTGCTCTCCTGAGGTTTCCCTCAGAGGCCGTTACCAGGGATTAGATGGTGAGTGACACCTGACAGCGGCCTCTGCTGAGCCACCCTCAAGGAGCCGGAGGTTTAAACCTGGACTTTCTGATACAAATGTGGCTTTAGGAGCTCTGTTTTTGTTTCCAACAAGAAGGAAAACCTAATTGACAGGGCTACTGTATGTGATGAAGAGTTTGTGATAGTTCCTTGTTTCTCAAGATCTGTGAGGCAGCATTTAATTTAGAAAGCACATATATATATATAGAGAGAGAGAGAGAGAAAACTGTACATGTGTTTATGTGTGTCTCAGATGTCCGTGTATGTCGTGTGCCCCTGTGCGTGTGCCCACGTGGAGTACCCACACACACGCGTTCCCTACTGGGCTAATGGCCACATTCAGTTTTGAAAATTTATTGATTTTCCTCTTGTTTATATTTAGTCCCAGCTTTTATGAGGCCCTTCACCTTGCGAATAATGGTATTCTGGTATAGTGTTTGAGTCTCCTAAGATTCAAACAGACTTACAGGCTGCAGGTGCACTTTAGTACTGCCGTTCGGGATTAGTTAGCGTCCTTCGCCCCAGGAGTCACAATGTGCTCGTGCAAGGCCACGCCAAGTCGTTCCCCTCGTGAGGGCTTCGGCCTGTTGTTCATTCAGCCTCATGTAGAAGGTGAAATCTGCGTATCGTCCTTGATGTTTTTTACGTCCTGGGTATTGCAATACCTTCCTTCCAAATGTCAGAACGTGCCTTTTACTCTCAATGGCCTTGTGGCCTCTGGCCCATGCCCTGTGGTTTCCATTTCTCGTGTGGGATAATGAAACTGTGGAGACCAGGTGACTGGCAGTTGCTGAGTGCCCGCAGTTAAGACCAGCGCGCTTCTGGTTTAGCCTTCAGGACCTTGGTAAGTTCGGCCCCTCGCTTTGGTTAACCGGTGTTAGTGACCAGCATTCTTCCGGAACACAGGTTTGTGTCGTCGGGGTCACCTGTGCGGCCTGCCTGTTCCCGTGCATGAATGACCTGCGGTTCCCTGTGGTGGTGCTGGACGAGTGCAGCCAGGTGACAGAGCCGGCCTCCCTCCTCCCCATCACCAGGTGACGGTCCTCCCCTCGGGCTCCAATGCCGGCTTTTTAAACATTCCCTCAAACTCCATTCAAGTGCTAAACTGATTTTTTAAAACAATGCAGAGGGGAGTTTGGGGGTTTAAGGAATCAAGGTTTTGTTAGATTGCAGTGTGGATGTTGGGATCATGTGATCCTGCAGGCCTTAGGGGCTGCGGGGCTGGGCTCCCCCCGGAACCTCGTGGGCGTCCTGTGGTGGACGCTTCCTCCTCAGCTGTAGTTTGAGAGCCTGGTTCCCCTGGAGACTGTTCTCCAGCGGCCTTCCCTCCATATAACTCCAGTGTTTGGTTTCTGAAAATAATTTTTAGATTAGGAGGGGACGTAAAGCACATAACAAAATGAATTGAAATGAAGCTTGGTTCGTTGGGCTTCAGCAGACAGAACGCTGAGCCGTCCGGGCCGCTGCACGGGCAACTCTGGAGCAGACCTCAGTGCCAGTCGCAAACGGGGTGGGAGGACGCGTGGCTACGTTCTGGCCCCGGCTCTGTCCCCAGGCCCTGGACTAGGGGTTCCCTGTGTCCTGGGATCCCCAGTGTTAAAGTGGACCAGCCCCGGGCATACGCGGGGAGCAGGGAGGGGGGACTATGAGGCCTGCACGAGGCGGGCAGCTGTACTGTGTACTAAACGCAGTGCAGACACGTCCAGTTCTCAATAGCTGCGTGAGGCGCTGTCACATCCAGTCTCTGGTGAGAAGCCCGAGGCTGGGAGACACTACGTGACGGCTGCACTCACGACGTAGCAGAGCTGAGCTTTAGACACAGGGTTTTGAAATGGGTCCCAGACCCAGTTCCAGTGTGTGTGGGGGTCCAAGAAGTCCAGTCGGTTCTGACACTACCACCCAGAGACACATCAGACCCACAGGTTAGGGGCTCGTCCCGCACCCCACTTCAGACTCCTCCCTGTGCTGCTGACTGGCTGCGTACAGACGGGGGTTCCAATGACCCTCCACTCAGAATGCCAGTCACAAGCCCAGGGTGTCACCCGCACTTCTGACTGACCAACTGTAAATCACAGGTCCCCACGCCCCCCTCCTCAGCTTCCATTAGCATGCTAGGCGGCTCGCAGGGCCCAGAAACATGTGGCTCACCAGTCACTGACCTACTGTGAAAAGATGTGTCTCAGAGTCCAACCCATGGAAGAGATAGGTGTGGGGGGCGGGTGCAGGCCTTGCGTGCCCTCTGCAGACACGCCCCCTCCCAAGTCTCCACGGGTCACCAACGCTGACGCTCTCAGAACCGGCCTGTTGGATGTCTGAGGAGGCTTCATGCCACAGGCAGGACCGGTTGACTCATTGCCCATCACTTGGGTTAGTTACCCTGGCAACCCGTCCCCAGCCTCCGTGCTTTCCCAAAGCAACCTCGTTCACAGAAAAGAGGCAGTTTTATTACTCTCTTTTCTGGGAAATTGCAGGGGTTTCGGGACCTGTGAGCCCAGAATTGTGGACAAAGACCAAATACACCTGGGAAAGGGATTTTGGTCATTTGAATGACCAAATACATATTTCTTATAAATCACAGTATTACATTTTTCCTCTAACACTTCAGCACTTTCCCTGAGAGCCTGATTCACTTCATCTGTAACAAAAGAGTTTAAGCCAAGTAACTTCTAAGGAGACTTCTGAGCCTGCACTTGCGGACCCCAAGAGCCCTATCTGTCAGGGTGTGTTCTGAGACTGGATCCCGGGCAGAGCGGCCTGTAACGGGCCTCGTGGGAAAGGAGAGTTAGCTGCTTGAAGCGTTCTTTACAGCATGACTTTTCCGAGCCTTTTCACACATTTATTAGCACCGTTAAGCCTTGTTAGTTCTCAGAGCGCTTCATGATTCATTTTTGGGATTCTGTTTTTCAGGTTTGAATGTGAAAAGCTGATCGTTGTTGGAGACCCCAAACAGCTTCCTCCGACTATTCAGGGTTCCGAAGCAGCTCATGAAAATGGGTTGGAACAAACCCTTTTTGATCGACTTTGCTTAATGGTACTGCTGCTAAATTCATACAGAATTACCACTTATCGATTATGCACTACGTAGAGTGATAGAAAATGAAAACATGAGAAGATGTAGGCCCTGCCCCCAAAGAGTATTAATTGGAGTGTTTAGAAAGTACTCATCGTACGATAATGGAGCCCTATGGTTTAAGTGTCCCTTTATCACATGAATTTTGTCCCATGTATTTGAATAGTAGGTCTTAAGTTTATTGCTTTTGCTCTAAAATTAAGAAATATAGCTCAATACGCATGTCAAATTTGGGTGGCAGGTAAGTGGATGTCTTTATTTTCTTTGCTTTTCTGTAATTTGAACTAGTTCAGAATTAGATAAAGTAAAAGAAATAAAAGCAATATCTATTACTCCTTATAGAAAGTGTAGAAGCTACAAAGGAGCAAAAGATAAACAACACGTCTGTACTAACCTCTCTGCCCCCAAGAGAAAACCCTGTGTAATGTCTTAGTGTTTTTCCTTCCAGCTTTTATCTCAGGGGTGTATTCATGTAGCAAATATATGTATTTTTATGGCCTGTATGTATATATAATAGAATATTTTTCAGCCATTTGCAACAACATGAATGTACCGTGAAATAAGTCAGACAGGAAAAGACAGATACTGTACAATATCATTTATGTGTGGAGTCTAAAAAGCCAGACTCGTAGAAACAGAGGGAATGGTGGTTACTGGAGGCCGGGGCAGCACTAGGGAGCCGCTGGCCAAAGGCACCGATGCCCAGGTACAGCCGGGGATCCAGTGTCCAGCACGGTGACCGAGGGCAGCAGTGCCGTAGCATCCGCTCGGAAGTCGTTGAGAGTAGGTCTTAAATGTTCTCCCTACAAAAGAGGTGGAGGGGCCAACTGAGGCAGTGGCGGTCACTTTGCAACATATAAGGTATCAAATTGACACTTCGTACACCTTAGAATTATACAATGTAATACGTCAGTCATGTTGCAGTAAAGCTGAGACAAATGTATGTATGTATTTTAACATAGTCAAGACCAAGCCATAAATACCTAGTTTCTATCCTGCATTTTTTAAGCGTCAAATTATAATAAATCATTTCCGTGTTAAAACTAGTGCTTTAAAATCATCACTATTGATTGCCATAACATGTTTAATCACTAAATACTGTGTCATGTGGTACATCATAATTTAGTTGTGACATTGAACATTTAGTTGTTTCTGGTTGCAACAAATGATCCTTTGAGCATTTTTATACCTAAAGCTTTTTGCTGGAGGTTTCACATGCCCGCGGACTGACTTACCCATAAACTCATGCCCTAAAGAGACTGAGGATTGACTTTATTTTTCACACAGTTTTCTCCTGTGGAAGGTACTTGGTGTGATCATTAGTCCTACATCTTATTATGTGTTATTATTATTATTAGAGTACCTTACAGCTATTCAAAATCTTCAGTCAGTACCACAGAGCGTTTTGCAAATCAGTACCACGCCCCAGAAGAGCCGTAGAGAACACGGGATTTGGGCTTCATGACACGTGAACAAAATGCGGAACTTCTTTGAAGATTCAGAATGAAAATGGCTTGTACACAGTGAGGACAGTTAATGAGTTATAAACAACATTTTCTAATTATTTTTTAAAGATTCCCTTTCAATTTATTGTTAGGCCAGCACCACATAAATTATGAAAGCATATGTTAGGTATCAAACTTGCTAGATAATAAGTCTAAGGTTTGATATGTTTCATATTTTATGATTTTGTGGTATAATGTTAGCTTACATGAAAACATTTTTAGTGATTTTTAAAATATTTTTATTTATAGTCTTTATCATGTTTCTAATTCATTTATTAAGAGCACCATATGTGAGTACTTTTAAATGTTTAAATATTTTTTCCCATAAAGAATTGTTTTAACTTCTAATTTTTCTGCATTGAAATTTCTTAGGGCCACGAGCCAGTTCTGTTGAGAACCCAGTACCGCTGTCACCCTGCAATCAGTGCTGTCGCCAACGACCTGTTTTATGGCGGGGTCCTGGTGAACGGTGTTTCGGAGGCGGACAGGGCGCCTTTGCTGGCATGGCTGCCTACCCTGTGCTTCTACAGCGTTCGTGGGCTGGAGCAGGTGGGTGGCGACAGGCAGCACTGTGCAGTTTCCCGGTTTAACGTCATCGTCGTTAGTGTGACTTTCTTGGTCTTTCCGTCGCCTTTCTGGGAAATGTAATTTGTGATCTGTCTGTTTTCCAGACTGAAGGAGATAACAGCTTTCACAATGTGGCGGAAGCCGCTTTTACACTCAAGCTGATCCGGGCCGTGCTCGCGAGCGGAGTGCCGGGCTCCGCGGTGGGTGTGATAACGTTGTACAGGGCCCAGATGTGCAAGGTTCGTGCGACACAGTCACTTCTAACACGTGCTGAATCCTGTAATTTTACATTGCAGTGTTCGATATTTTTGTTGTGGTTTGGTTTGGTGGTTGAAAAGCTTTGGGAACTGTGATTAATGTATTAAAAAGTAAACATTCTGATTTTTGTCTGGTCTGGCTTTTTTTCTGTATAATTAAATGTAAACTTAACAAGGTTTAATTAAATTCAGTTTACAGCTGTTGGGGCAAAATGCAAATAAACAAATTAGAGGGAAGCAAATGTGCACGCTCTGTGTTTTGGGGCAGATGGGATTGGATCTGTGTTTTCCAAAATGTTCTTCCATTATTACATTTCATCAGTGAGTCGAAGATAGATACCAGATGTTAACGTGCACAGGAGCCGTTTACTTTCAATTAGTTTTTATGTTTTCATTTTAAATTTTTTAGTATTTTCATGTTTCACTGTTTATCAACTAAATTAGCATATCCAAATGAGTTCTCCAGCAAAAGATAAATCACCACTTGTGATTTTGTTTCATGATTTATATTGTCATCTAGTCGTTTATTATTTTAGAAGCTAGCCAAATCTATGCGAGTCATAAAAAAAGACAATGGAAATGTCACTGTTGGTTAGAACAAGACAGCCACTGTGAGGAGGCCGGGCTGGGGTCCCTTGTGACCTCTGCACTGCGTGACCCCATCTTCCTTGCCCCACAGCTCTGTCACTTGCTCAGGGACGCGGACTCCGACTCGCCCGAAGTCAAAGCTGTGCAGGTGTCCACAGTAGATGCCTTCCAGGGAGCTGAGAAGGAGATCATCATTCTGTCCTGTGTGCGGACGCGACAGGTCGGCTTCATCGATTCAGAAAAGAGAATGAACGTCGCACTGACCCGAGGGCGGAGGCACCTGCTGATCGTGGGGCACCTGGCCTGCCTGCGGGGGAGCCGGCTGTGGGGGCGCGTCATCCAGCACTGCGCAGGTGAGGCGGGGCACGCTGGGGGTGGCATTTTGGATAAAAACTGACTTTTGGGCTGGTGCTTGGAGGGGTTTGAGCGAGAGCAGCTCTGAGTGTGCTGGCTGTGGTGACAGTGAATGCTGCTGTCTCACGTCTGTCTTTTTTAAGGGCGGGAAGATGGGTTGCAGCATGCAAGCCAGTGTGAGCCACAGCTGGACCTTCTCCTTAAAGATTATTTCGAAAAGCAAGCAGAAGAAAAACAGGAGGAAAAGAGTGAAAAGGACAAATCTCGTTTACAGAAAGGTGCGGTTCAAATCTTTCAGTGTTTATAGAAATTTAAATTTATTTTACACTGTGCGTTTTTTAATATTTTTATTACCCCAAAACCCTTGTTATCAAAAACAACGTTAAATAACTATGTATAAAAGTTTGCTCTTCAAAAAGGTATACATCATTTATATTAACATAGGCAGAGGTCGAGGGTGACATAAAATCTTACTAATAAAAATACATCTTTTCTAAAAATTGCAATCTCTGCTGGGAGAATGGACTTGGCAGGGGCGGGAGTGAAGGCCTTCATGCCCTTCTCAGCGTCCCTGCAGAACCACGTGAACATCTCCAAAGCCCGTGTTAGAACGTGGCTGCAGCTCTGCCAACACCCTCCTCTGAGCGAGAGCTCTGAGTCTTTTAAAAATAAACAACGCCCCGTCATTTTACAAGTTAAAACATCCAGGGTAACCGTTTTCAGAGGCAGGGGGAAGACAGGCGAGCGGGAGGTGAACGATGGGCGTGACTCCTGCCCGCGGCCCGTGTCCTGCCCGTCTTCCCCCGCGCGTTCGTTTGCACGTAGTTATTGGTACATACGGAGCATGACAGACTTGAAATTCTTATTATAAGACTGCATTCTGCTCATAGAACATGTGCAGAACGCGAAGAGCTGCAGCAGGAAATGCAAAGCACCTGGAGACGCCCCGGCGACCGTCTGCTAGCTCCCCGCGTCCCGGTCTGTGTGTGGCTGTGTCAGGAGGTCGGCGGCCGTCGTGTGACTCAGGCGCTGTGAACGCGGCTGCGTTTGCTCATCCTGCGTGGGACAGGGGCCGCTCTCCGCCCACCTTGCTGGGGTCTTCCCCAGCTGGAGTGTCTGGGACCCTGTCACTCGGTGTTCATTCTGAAGATGCAGATAATGGCTTCCTTGAATTACTTCCCAGTAAGGAGGCCCGGAGAAGGGAATCCAGCGAACAAATGCCTCCTCCCTCCACAGGCCTGTCCCGAACGTGCGGTGGCCTGTGGTGTTCGTGCAGACCGCCCCGAGGGGCGCGGCCTGGCCAGCCGTGCGGCTCCTGACGGCAGCGTGACCTGCACCAAGGCTGCTGCCCTGACCCCCTCTCTCATTGCTCATTCTGAGCCTGTCCTTGGTCAGCGGAGCTGAGTCGCAAGTGATTTTTTCCCAAGAAGAGCTCGTGGATGATGTACCCTCTGAAGCCCTGTGCCGCAGGTGTGCATCATGTGCCGCAGGTGTGTCATGGCACCCAGGGTCGCCCCACTTCCTGTGTGACAATGATACCTGCACGTCCGAGCTGCTCAGCCGGATGGCAGGCTGCTCCCACCTGCCAGTGTGCACGCGAAGCGCTCGAAGGCCAGTCCCACCCTGTGCTTGCGCTTCCCTGGCCCCCCATCCGCTCCGCCTCCGATCTGCTCAGCTTTCGAGAACTGTGACTTCTGTGACTGGATGAGCGGTGTGACCCCGCAGGGCTGGGCTCTCAGCACTGGCTCCTGGCACTGGGTGGCCCTGGCCACAGGACGCGTAGTAGCACCTCTGGCCTCTGCCCACTAGATGCCAGTTGTGTTCCCCCCAGGTTATGACATCGGTAACGTCCCCAGACGTTGCCAGGTGTCCTGAGTCGAAGGTGGGCCCGGCAGCCGCACCTGGCAGCGTGGCTGTCCCATCACCGGTCAGTGTCCAGCCTGTGTTTCTGACCCAAGCAGCAGTTACAGTCTGATTTTGCAGGGCACGCCCGGCCGTTTCCGGCGGGTGCCGGGTGGCCCACCCGTCACCTCAGTTCAGGGTCCTCCCTCGTAGTCCACGGCCCTCCCAGGGCCTGCCAGCAGGCCAGCTAGGGGTGTCAAACAGTTACCTCACACGTCTGCATTGCTATCTTGACGTGACAGAGCCTGTGGAAACCTTTTAAACACGAACACTTTGGAATCTGTAAAGGGACCTCCCATTCCTCCGGTAACATTCTCGTCTGAGCCACAGCGGGCACGGACGTGGTGTAGAAGCCGTTCAGAGACTGGCCGTGGTGCTTCTGCTGGGGTGGCCGGATCTTACAACGACACACCTCCCTTTTTTTTCTATTTTCTACTATGCCTATTTTTTCCTTCTCGAAGGCAAAATCTTTTTTCTCTTTTGATAAGTTAACATTCAGGGTTTTTTAGTCAGCACCTTTTGACCCCTGCACCCAGTTCCCCTGCCCCAGCCTCTGGGAGCCACCAGCCTGTTGCTTTTGTTTCGGATGCCACACGTGAGTGAGGTCACGCGGCATTCGTCTTCCTGACTGATTTCACTTAGTGTCACGCCCTCGCAGTCCATCCGTGTCCCAAGATGTGACGGCGGCACAGCCGAGCTGCCCTTCTCCCCAAGGCTGTCGCTGGCTTCCTTCTAAGACCCGGCAGGGGTGCCAGGGGGCCGCTGACCATCTGAAAGAGTAACGTAGTGAATCAAAACATTCTTCCGATAGGGCAGTGCTGAACGTTGTAGCGCTGCCTTTGGTCCGTAAACAAAGCATGGTGTCTGAACCCCGAGTATTAATATGGCCCTTATTTCTATTTTTATGAAGAAAAAGGCCATAACAGCACTTGATATAAAAAAATCCCCCAAATCCAGACTATCACCTGCTTTATCTTTTTTATCTCAAATTCCAAGGTTGGATAGACACAAATTGAATATTTTAGGAGTATCCCATTCAATCAACACATATTAAAATTTCCCACAGTTTTACACTACTCAAAGTAACAAGCCAGCTTTACAGCTAGAGCTATCATGTATCTGTAGACAGCAGTTGTGTTAAAAGGTGTGTTCAGTAAACGATAGAAGGTCCTCTGAGCTTTTGTTTATGGAAAAGGCCTTTCAGTTTGTGCGTCGCATTCAGATCGGGCGGAATGTCCAGGCGTTAATCTGCCCACCAGCTGCGTTTGCCGTACAGGGCGTGCGTGTTAGGTTTTCACCAGATTCTTTCACGAGCATCACATTAATCCCTAGGGAAGAGGGCCTTTTCCCGTTTTGTAAATGATGAAGCCAAGGATCGGAAAACCGAAGCGATGCGTCGGCCTGACCCTCCGGAACTGGTCCAGGCAGGGGAGCCCAGCCCCATCTACGGGACGCCGTTCGGCGGGTTGGCACCTGCACGGCGGGTCCTGGGGGCGTTATCGGAAGGCGAACGGCAAACCCCAACCCTACCGTCCTCCCCGACCCAGCCCAGCCGACTGGCCTCCTCATAATTCACCGTGGCTAATTTATCATGTAAATGTTTATTAACTGTTGGTTTATGTGAAAAGTCTGTACTTTCCTGGTAAATATGTTTTGCCTGAGAAATGGGATTGTTGGCTTTTCTTTGGAGGTCTGTATTGGCTGCTGGAAGATCCAGTCTGCTTCTTATTACATGAAAAACTGCTAACAAAAATGTACTATTAGCTAAGCTGGTGATTATTCTATTATCAAAAGTTGTTTAAAAAATAATCTATGTTTCATGCTCTGCAGCCAAACCCTATCCCGAATGTAACATTTCAATATTGGAGTTACATGTGAAAAATCACAATTTCAAATCTGAGATTATGAAGCCCAGCTTGAAACTTGATGATATAACTTTTATAATTTTTAATACTTGAACAAAAGGAGTATTTGATTTGGAGATACCAAAGCAAACCCCAAATGCTACATGTTCTTGACTATGTTTAATTTAAAGACAGCTGTGAAATAGCTTTGTGCTAACTCAATCATTTTATATTAAATAAGAGTTACATGGAAATTGGTGATTTTCTTGACAGATATTGGACCTGAAAATTAAATAATTGTTCTAAAAGCATTAGCTCAATGCTGATTTGAAGTGCCTGCTTTGAAATTAGTCATGAGTGAAATGTGTTTTCAGTTCAGGCTGTGTTTTTGGCTTGATTATACGGTAAAGGGAAACTACAACTCGGATTTCTCTGCCAGCCTCAGAGTTCCTTTTACCCTGAAGCGCTGGTTCGGTCGGTGTTTTAAGCTCTTCTGATGGTCTCGTAATCGTTCGTTTTCCTTACTACGCTACTTTCAAACTGTGCAGCTCTGGTCCTGATACTACAGGAAATGACGGTGTGAAACGAGAAAGCGGTCGACGTTCAGTTAAAGAACTCGTGGGCAGGTTCCCCAGGCGAGGTTTAGGGCGCCTGATGCTTCTTTAAAACAAAAACTTGGAGTTCGTTGATTTACTTGGCCCAGTTCTGATGGGTCTGTGGCTTCGCGGAGCAGAGCCGAGCATGGCCCAGGCCACGTGCTCGGTGGTGAGCAGGCGGGGCAGCCTCTGGGTGCGGGTGCGCGGCCTGCTCCCTTTGTCGGCGCGGGCGTGGAGCACCCCCACCCCCGAGGACAAGCTCCCGGTCTCCGGGATGGAGAGGCCTGGGCAGGCTCGTGCAGAGAGGACGTGCGGCTGCTCTGACAGTGCTGGGCGTGCGCTTCTACGGAAACCGCGAGCAAGCACGGCCGTGACGTCGCGGGCGCTCAGGTGCATTGTCCCCCACGTCTCGAGAGTCCGCGTCAGGCCTCGGGGTGCGAGGTGGTGCCAGCACCGTGGGGACCGGGGCGGGCCTGGGAAGTGC